TACCACTCATAAACTTGAGTTTTCGATAAAACTGATTCCCCATAAGCCTTTTGTAGCATTCGCAACGATTCTGCACACGAAATTTCGTTCGAAACACAAAATTTGATGCAAACTCTTTGTTCAATATTTTTTTCCATTGTTTTTTTCGCAACGCCCTACTGAGGTGAACTGGTTTCAACAGCTGCCGTAAACGAACTGTCTGACAGATCGCGCTCATTTTTGGCATAGTAATTAAGGACAGTGCTGCCAAACTACATAAACTTAAAATATCGGAAAATATACAGCGCGCGAATTTTAAATGAGAATTTCCGAAAACTTTTCGGTCTTAATGTAGAGTCGAAAGAGTATGAATATATACTTGTGTATATGCATGTTTGTATATAGATCTCTTCGCTTAGTATATGCGTAGTTTATGGATGGATATATTACTGCAATTAGTTTGAAAAGTTTACCAATCAATGAGTCCTAGAACTAGAATCTTCGCTATTAGGTAGTCAGACATAACTAATTCCAATCCAAATTTAAAAAAAATTAAAGATTACTAAAATTCTTATGATACATAAAGTCTTCCTATATTTTAAAATTTGTATATTTTTATAGAAAAAATGAGAAACTGTCTATAAGACATCTTGGACATGATTTATTGCTTTATATAAATTCTATTTATTAAACTGTAATGTATTGAATTATAAAATCCCCAATATATGCAAAAAACAGCCTCTGTTTAACGAAATTTTACGTTAACTCAAATTTATCAAAGAAAATCTTTTTACTTTATTTCAAACAACTATCTATATCTTGGTTAGAGAACCGACTAGAAGTTAATATTCTAATCAACATTTTAGGCTCTTATTTTGTAAACCACTTTTCAATCCTTTTGGGAGCTGAACAATGGTACAGTAAACCCGCACATGTATTTCTTAATATCTATTAAGTACAATTCAGCAATAGTAATAAATTAACAAATACTTAAGATTGTAAAAAAAAACAAACCTGTCAATCCTAATTCAAATTAAAATATTACAAAAAAACTTTTTAATATAAAGTTTAGGTCGTGTGCGAGTTAGGCTAAGTTGCGTTCTAAATGAGGGAAATTCTAAGATGAGCCGATAATGTAGTGATGTGTCGATACGTGTTGATAAATGGCTAAATGTGTGCAGTGCAAAAAATCCTAAAAAATCTCCCATTTGGTTTAGCATCAACTTAGCCTAACTCGCACACGACCTTAATAAGCATCTTTTTAAGAAATATTGGTTCCACTTGTCTATTTATTTATCTATGTATTCTATTTTTTATGCTATTCTATCTTCATTCTATACTTTGTTAGCTTCATCGTTTTTATGTCAGTTTCTATTTAATTTTATCCTTTTTTTTTTGTAAAATGAGCATTTAAATATCATAACACATTCTTTATGATATTCTAAGTTGAGCAGCGGTAGACCTATCCATCTGGGAGCTAGACTTATTACTAACTCTTAACGCATGGAACAATACAAAATCGTCAAAGGTGCTCAAACTCATTAAAAGTCGTATTGGTTTTTACATAAGGCACGGTGTATAGCATTGAATAGTATTTTCCAAACAATCAAAAAAAAATATACTATATCAATCAATTGTCCTAATATCTTACAAATATTTAGTCCTGACCCGCTTCAACGTGTATAGCATAGAATAGTATTTTCCATACAATTTAAAATAATAAATAATATAATAATAAATTGTATCTAATATTTCTTATATTTTGCCCTGATCTGCCTCAACGTGAAGCTCAAAACTGCAAAACTGCAAAAATGATATTTCGCAGACCAGTTCTACCACTGGCGTTCTGTTAATATATCTTCCCCTATATATCAAATCTCTTTCATGCATTTTCAAGGACATAACAATGGGCAATATATATTTTCAAGTGCTGATAGAGGGCGTGTGCTGATATCACGCCCTCTCAAGCTAACTTAACCTACGCATTACATTATTTTTTTCGTATTTGAAGAGCATTTCAATCTTTCTGATATTAAACCATGATTTTATAGTAGATATCCAATATAACGAATACCTGATTTAACATCTCATTGACTATTTCAAGCAAGGAATGTATAATTTTTAATTTTTAAGTTTATTAATTATTAATTTTTTTAATAAACTTTATTGTTTAAAAAAAATAATGCATAATATAATATGAATTCATTTTATATAATATTTGAATCCGTGAAAAGAATACGTGAAGAAAAAAAAATAAAAGCGTGAAGTTATACGAATTACTTAAAATCAAATGGAAAAGTTCAAATTTCCCTATACTTTTCATTCTACCCACTTCTCCTATTAACCTTAATAATACCTAAGTTCCATGAAAATCTTTTAAGTACCAAATTTTAAACACATTTTCATGTATCTCAAAGATTTCATGTTTCGTCGTACTTATACTTACCAACAAAAGTTTAAAAGTAATCAAATGAATTTTTAAGTCGGCTTAAGATTTATGCGAGTTCCACTTAAAGATGACCCATAAAAACAACAAAAAAAAGTATCTAGTTACTATACTTTATGATGTGAGGTCATTAAAAATGATTTAAATTTTTTTTGTGTAAGATGAAATTTTTGTTAGCTAAGAAATTAAAAAACAAAATGAATTTTAAATGTTTTGCATATAAATAAAAACCCGTATCTACAACTATCTTGAGATAAAAACTATTCAAAATGTATGCATTTTATTGTCTTTTAATGACGACATTTAAATTGCATTTCGAATTGTAAAACAAAAATCTTTACAAAGGCGCTGGTCATTAAATTCAGTTTTTTTTTGTTTTTATATGAAAAAAAAAACCTATTTTATTATCAAAAAATATAATAAAATTTATAAATAAATGAAGTAAACATTACTTAACAGATGTGTTAAATCTATTGTGATCATTTAAATTACATATGAAATATTGTAACGATATGAAAAATAAAAAAAAAAGATACAAAATACAATAACATTTGTATAATTAAATGATAGATTTATTTGCCGTTTTTCGAATAAATTAAATAAAATAAATTATAATTATTAATTATTATGAGAACATTTCAGTTAATTTATTTTGATGAAAGTATCAATGACAGGGAATAAGTTAAACCTGCATTTCAGATATTTTATAACCTGTCACTTTTTTTTCTTCATTGTTGTATTTATTGTTATCTAATTAGTTTACGTAAATAAAACTTACAGAAAACAATAAAAAAAATTAATACATAAAAAAATAAAATTCAGAGAATAGAATAATTACTAATTTTGTAACTTCGATTTACAAGTATTTGCGTTCAATCTTTTGTTAGGGGAAAAAAATTACTAATATTCTTTAGTCAGAACTTTAATGTTTATTATTTAAATTTTTTTATACTAAACGTTTAAGATCAAAATACGCAAAAATTCGGAAATAATATCGTTTAACAAAATTAAAATATATATTCGGAGCACAACTATGCTCAAATATTCATTAATGAATGATATCAGATACTCAATTGTAATAATTGACATAATAATCGTGATTTGTTTCTAGCATATATCATATATATATATATATCAAGCATATACAAATCATAGAGGCCAAAATTTTATCAGATGTCACTTCCTTTTTTTGCTCGCTTGCGCGACTTTGGCCGATTACTATCCGGATTTGTCTCCATAATGCACAAATTTTGTTATTCCTTTTTTTTTCAAGGCTAGGGATTAAAACATGTCCACACACACCCGCAGAAACGTCTTTCTATGGGTACTGCGCGGTTCACGCTAATCGTTAACACACTAAAAAACTCCCCATTTCAGGATCTGGAACCCGTAAGATTAAATCTTACGACACTGCCGTTGTACCTTCATCCAGGCGCTTCTTTTTTGCACGAAGTATTGCCTCCACGTTCCTCACCACCACGAACAACTTTCTCTCACTTGCAAGTAGTAAAGAAATAACTTTTTCCGAGGTCTACATGCCACAGAGGCTGGCTCTCTCGGTTAAGCATTTATTGTACGTAAAGAACTTGTGTTCTGCATCGCCGTAAATGAAACTCTTCTGTTCTCGAATACTCATTCGGTACAGGCACTTGCTGAAATACCCGTGCCGGGAAAAGAGTTGCGTCAGGTAATAGATGAGCTTACCGAATTTTCTTGTCGTCCAAACAACTAAATCGGGAATGAATTTTACAGTTCACATACCAGTAGTGCCGTTGCTCCACCGGTTCTGCTATTCTAGCATTGTGTGTTCCCAGTAACTTGTGTTCACGCTGTTGTTGTCGTTGTTTTGGCGGCTTAACCATGCTCGCCTCTAATCGATCGATCCATGTTTCATAAATTATCAAATCTTGTTGTTTTTGTGAACACATCTTTTGTTATAACAAACGTTGGTGTAAATCTAAACCAATTCAATAAACAATTTTATTTTATATATCTTTTTGAAGTCTTGGATTATTTTTTTAAATCAATTTTGTCCTAAATATAATTCCTTTTTATTCGAATTCTTATACAATCATTAATATTATTAATATATAATAATTAATATATTAATATTAATAAATAATTAATATAAATATATATTTCACATTAATATATAATTAATATAAACATAATATTATATATTAATATATATTATTATAATAGGTATTTGATATTTCATTTAAGATTACACGAACTTTACTATGATTGAATATGATGATACATAATCTCACCTTCTAATATATGTGCACTTTATAATATATATCATATAATAGATGGTGATAGCTCACATATAATATAATTATTTTATTATAATATATTAATTTTATAATATCATATTATTATATATAATTTATTATATTATATTTGTACCTATATATATTATATTATATATATATATATATATATATTAAGTTACATATGTAAATATAACATTATTTTTATATTACATTTTTTACAAATATATTTTTCATAAACATTTATTTTTAACATTGATAAATTAAAATATAATAATAATTATAAATTTTTCTTATCTTAGGCACTGGAAGTTCTCCCGCCCAGAATTCAACTCGCAGCATTAGTCCAAATAATTCAACCTCAACCAGTCAATTCAGTTTACATCATAATAGTTCTGGCAGTTTAGGTAGTTCCACACCTACCTCACTTCATCCACAGGTATTAAATTATAATTTTCCTAATGAAATATTATTTTCTAATAAGAAATTAAATGATTTCCTTTTTCTATATTAAAATCCACAAATAGTCATCTGTATCCACATTTAAGCAGTCACCAAATATTTTAAACGGTAACAGTTCATTATTGGATAACACAATGCCAGGTGGTATACCAACTCCCGGTACCCCAAATTCTAAAGCTAAGGTAATTAATCTTTTCTTTATTATTTCAAAGTAAAATTAATTTAAACTTAAAATTAATTATGTTATAACTAATTTCAGTTTTTTTCTTAACTATATCAGCTGAAAATAAAACTTTTTAATGCTAAAAACTTTTAATATAATATACCTATGTGATCAGCTAATGTCCGTTTCATTTTATAATTGCAATTGTAGTTCAAGTACAGATATATCTGCTTAAAAGATTTGTTAAATTTATATTAAAAAATTAAAAATTTGTTTTTTTTTATTATAAATAAATATAAACTCAACCACTTCAGGATCCGGTTCTATGAACCGCCGGGTCTACTTTTCAGAGCCACTTATCAATTTCGACGACCAAGTCCCGTTCAGCACACCCCGAAGTGTTTTCACAAGTTGGACCCTCCTGGTTCCAACAACAACAAATCCAAGGTCCCAAGTTGTCTTATTTATCTTATTTACTATTTAACTGTTTCTTAGAAGCACAGATTTTAAAACTTTTAAATTATGCTTCTATTTCATTTTGAATTTAGAGAAAAGTCAGACCTCATTAATGTTTACCTATTGTATATTTTGTTTAATTTATTATTTTTTAGTAAAGATGTATATTTTAATATACATCTTCTTCTCCCTTATTCTATTATTTGTATCTATGCCATTTAGTGGGTATGTATTTTAGTATTTTCTGGTTATTAGTCCTTTGAAGTCCTAATATAAATCTATATTGTCATAAGTCGCAAACTTGCCCCGAATTATTTAAACGCTCACTGCGATTTAGAAAATTATAACAAAACTGTAGAGACAATGGATTTTTATATAGCTTCCATGGCTCACAAGTGTACATCGCTTATAGGTTTATCTATAATGATAAACCTATTACTATTATAAAATCATTACTATTTCTTTTTTAATCAGGACTATATCTATAAGAAAAAATACGTAAAAATACGGCTTTACACTTTATATATTCATTGTTTTCCTGAACACCCTCTTTCACTAGTTATTTTTTAATTATCATTGTTTCTATCAAAATCAAAATAGACGTCAAAATAGATTTTATCTCCATAATACTTACATTCCAATAAATCATAGCATAATGCTACTTCTTAGTGAGTTGTTATTTTTTTCATAGCGCCTTTTGGGGGTAGTAAATGGCACTTTCGGTACGTGGCTCCGGGACGTAGACCCGTAGAAGTTCGACTTGTTACTTCTTCATTTAATTCTTTTGTGTTACAAATTCTATAGACAGCATTTCAGTGGACATGAGCGAACATATCTATGTTTTAGTATCTTACGACTCATATAAAGTGAAGAATGCCTTTAATTTAAACGAATTATTATAAAATGATTATTATATTAGAAATCATTATACTAAAAATTATTATATTTTAAAAACCGAGAAATAAATTTATGTTTATCATTTTTTATTGTTTTTATTATTATTACAGGACAATTCACATTTTGTTAAAATTGTCGTAGCCTTATATCCATTTAAGGCCATTGAAGGTGGTGATTTATCACTAGAAAAGGTGAGTTCATGATATATTTAGCATATTTATATCTTTATTGTCTCAGCTCACATTTTATTTACCAGACAAAATGTCTATATAATATGTCTTTTTATACTAAGTTATGTATACATATATATACATTTTTTTATATTTTATTTTATAATTATTTTTTACTAAATAGTTTTGTTTTTATATATTAATTTAGAATGCTGAATATGAAGTAATTGATGATTCTCAAGAGCATTGGTGGAAAGTTAAAGATGCTCTTGGCAATGTCGGCTATATACCCAGTAATTATGTTAAGCCGAAAGCTTTACTAGGCTTGGAGCGTTATGAGTAAGTATTATTTTATATATAATATGTTTTGAAAATGATAAATAAATATATACAATTTTTTTAAGGAAAAGCAATTAAATTAAATTAGAATTAAAACATTTTAAACTGAAATGTGAAATAAAAATTATATATAATACGGATGTTTGAAACAAAACTCTGTCAGAGTTCAAGTTCAATCCTTGGTATTTGCAATTTTAAACAATTATAATATATGAACTGATATATATTCGAATATATGATATATATTGGTTGTTGGATATTTGGCAATACCTGAAAGAAGTGTAATGTCAGCCAACTCAATTGATTAAACACTAAAAATTTTTTTTTGTAATGCATTTTTTTTATAACTTACCTAAACTATATGGGGTGTTCAGAATCATGGGTAATGAGGTCAGTAATGAAGTAACATAGAAACACTGTAATATGCCATGAACAAAATACTTGTATTCAAAATATACTTTGTTGCTGTCACTTTACACTGTTACTGTGTTACTTGCTTACCGACCTCTTTACTCGGATGGTGAATACCCCTAAATTAACTTAAATTGTAAATCTTAACATTTTATTCAAAAACTTCATATTTATATATTTTATATTGCTGAAGAAGCAGATCAAATAATAACAAATTCTATTTAAAAAAAGTAAGATCGGCACTTAAATAATTTACATTGTAGATTCACACACTTAATTAATTATTAAATAAATGCACAAATCTATTTGCAATATTATATATATTATAATATTAATATTATACTTTCAATACCTTTTACAGTTGGTACGTTGGAGATATGTCTCGTCAACGCGCTGAGTCGTTATTAAAACAAGGCGATAAGGAGGGCTGTTTTGTAGTGCGTAAATCATCAACAAAAGGATTATACACACTTTCGCTACATACCAAAGTGTAAGTAAATATATATAAAAAAATATTTTAAAAAAATTAAATTTCTATTTCTCAAAATACTAATTCTCTCCATCTAGTCCACAATCTCATGTTAAACATTATCACATCAAGCAAAATGCACGCGGCGAATATTATTTAAGCGAAAAACATTGCTGCGAAACTATACCAGATTTGATAAACTACCATCGACATAATTCCGGTGGCTTAGCATGTCGTTTAAAATCGTCTCCTCGTGATAGACCAGTGCCACCGACAGCAGGTTTATCACATGGTAAATACAATATTTTCATTTTCAAATTAGTTAAATTAATTTATGTAAATTGAATATAATATTTCTCATAGATAAATGGGAAATACATCCCATGGAACTAATGCTTATGGAAGAATTAGGCTCTGGACAATTTGGTGTTGTACGACGTGGTAAGTGGCGCGGTTCAATTGACACAGCGGTTAAAATGATGAAAGAAGGTACCATGTCTGAAGATGATTTCATTGAGGAGGCCAAAGTAATGACCAAATTACAACATCCGAATTTGGTACAATTGTATGGGGTCTGCTCCAAACATCGCCCGATTTATATCGTTACTGAATATATGAAGCATGGCTCGTTATTGAATTACTTACGTCGGCATGAAACTACTTTGATCGGTAATATGGGCTTATTGTTAGATATGTGTATTCAGGTATGTTAATGCAATATAATTTATGTAGAATTATACTCTATATATTCATTTTTACTTATACGTATATATTTTAAAACATATATTTATCTATTTTTAATATAGGTCAGCAAGGGAATGGCTTACTTGGAGCGTCACAATTATATACATCGCGATTTGGCTGCACGTAATTGTCTTGTCGGCTCTGAAAATGTTGTTAAGGTTGCCGATTTTGGTTTGGCACGTTATGTTTTAGATGATCAGTATACAAGTTCCGGTGGTACCAAATTTCCTATTAAATGGGCACCACCAGAGGTATTAAATTACACACGCTTCTCATCAAAGAGTGATGTATGGGCATATGGTAAGAAATATATATTGAAATGAGTATATAAAATATTTTAAACTGTCGTGCTAGTTTTGTTAATAGTTATAAAAATAAATTCTGTAATATAAAATGACTGTATATATCTTCTGGATATAAATATAAAAATTTTAAAATAAATACCTTGTTTGAAGTGAACAGAAGTATTGCAGGTTATAATAAGTGTTTATTTAGTTAATATTTTATAACATTTTTTGTTTTGGATATTTAAAGAGTTTTTTTAAATATAATCTGGTAAAGTTTTGAAGATATATTACCAAACTAATACGAGTTTTGTAAGACCCTTAGTTCTGAATTTCTGTAATTTCTGATTTTTCTAAAATATACTCATTTTATTAACACTATCTCTAATCTTCAAATCACCAAGACAGAACTTCGGAATCTGTCTACAGTCTACTTAGCGTTGATATTAGATAATATCAAAGTATATAAAAAACATTTCTGCTATTAAAGATAAGAGCAAAACAATTAACCCAAACAATTTGCTTATTTACAACTCTAAAAAACTGTTTTATTAATTTTCTTACAAGTCATCATAGTTATAATTAATCAGTTTTTAAGTTCTCCAAAGTCAAAAAAAATACATACATAATACATAATATTAGTTGTGATATAGTATACTATCTTTTTCGAAACACAAACATAAAAGTTAAACATACTCGTAAGATATAATAGCACATGCTGGTAATATGTCTATCGATATCTTGATATATAGAACTTTATCATAGGTTTTAAATATCTATCTAAATACATCTATAGTCTAGTCTTTCTATAGACAAAGTCTAAATCAGTAAAAGGCATAAAGCTTCAAGGCAATTCAGAACAAAAGAAACAATAAAATCCTTGAAGTATAAATGTAATTCCCATCTCTAAAAGTCTATTTGTAACTTTTTCTGAAATTGATAATTATCTACTTTAAATAGTGATACAGGAGGCACTCAAACTAAGTACTGACATAAACTTAAAAAACTATATTAATTTTTATATTTAATTATTTTGTATTTGTAATTAATTAAATTTTATTTAAAGGTGTACTTATGTGGGAGATATTTACCTGTGGCAAGATGCCATATGGACGTCTAAAGAATACCGAAGTTGTTGATCGTGTACAACGTGGCATTATACTAGAAAAACCAAAGTCATGCGCAAAGGAAATTTACGATGTAAGTTTAAATTCTATTAGACGTGTTCTAGTGCAACAGTATTATAATACTTATAAATAATAGATAATGATCAATTAGTATATTTTTTTTTCAAGACTATTTTTTCACATTTTTTACATTTTATTTATAGTCACTTATAGTTATCTATTATATATCTTCTAAAATATTTAATTACTTAAACTGCAAGTTGTTAACAAGCGATCTGAATAAGTAAAAAAAAAATTATATGGTTATTATTCTAATCTGATTTTAATTAAATTGTATAACTTAGTTGACTATTGCAATTTAAATCGAGACAAACTAACTTTCTTTATACGAGAAATTAAATAAAACCTGTGATATATGATAGATTTCAAATTAGTTTATTTTCTTTTTTATAATTTAGTTCACATAAGCTATCGGTTCCAGTAAAAATTTAATTTGATTTAATTTTTCGAAATCTTTAATATTCTTTTATTTTATACATATTATTATATATATATTTTGTATATAATATATATATTTAATATATAATATATTATTTTTTATAATTTATAATATATTTCTATTGACTGCTTCAATTTTGTTGACTCATATATCCGATAACTACTTAATACCTGCTTTAAGATTGTCAATTTTAAAAGTCAGTCCTAATTTTATTTCGTGAGTTGTTCTTGTAATCTAAAGGAGTCCCCTGGTATTGCCTCTTTTTAAAGTGAAGACCGGCACTTGTTCTTTAAGATGGCTTCAGAATGTAGACACGATTACAACTAGAACTCGTTTCGCTTGTGATTTCTTCTCACAATTTTGTCTAGTAATTTTTTAGTTTATATTACTTTTTTTAATATTTGTGCAGGCGTATAGTTTCACTGGCAATATTAATTTAAAATAAATGAAATATAAGAATATTTAAATTAAAATTTTATTAAAAAATTTTTTATTTCTTTTTTAAGGTCATGAAAAAGTGTTGGTCTCCTGGCCCCGAAGATCGCCCATCATTCCGTGTGCTAAAGGAGCAGTTAGCTCTCGTTGCACAAACCCTCACCGATTAAATGATAACATTAAATTATCATAACAACTATAATAAAAAATATTATATGCAGTATATGCAATATAAATATATTACACTTATATATATATATAAATATATAAATTGATATGAAGAAATTGAACACTTATACATATTTACATATATAAAGATAATTTAAGAAATAATAATTCATTTATATGTCATGTGAATGATAACGTGGCCAACTGATTTATTGCCAATTGATTGCACTGAAAAGTAATTAGCAAAAGTTTTGATTAAGTTTTATATAAACTATTTTGTAATTTACAAAAAAAAAAACATTTTTTTTTTTATTGAAATATAACATTATAACATTAAAGTGTAAACGCAACAAAAGTCTTAATTTTAAAGTTGTGAAGAAAAATGAAAATTCATTTTGTGAAAGATTTAATTTTAATTATTTAACTATTATTTTATAAAGATAAACATGGAAATTGTTTAATTATTGCCACTATAGCTGGTATTTCTATAATGAATGTATAAGAATGATATATATTATAAGCGAAATTTAAAGAATACAAGAAACATATGGTATATAAGAAATTAATAAATAATATATATATATGTATACATATATGATAATATGTCACACCTATAGCAAAATAGAAAAAAAATTTGATTAAATTAATTTAAAATCGGAAAAGAAACTTAAATATTTAAAATTAACATTGATAAGCAAATTCAAGCATAAAAAATTATAATTGATAAAGGCATTTTTATGTTTAAATTTAAATTAAAATAAAAAATATATGCATTTAATTGTTAAAATATGCAACTAAATGTATAGCAATACAACATCAGTATATATATATTGAAATACATAAAATATATATTTAATTATAAGCAAATATCGACGCGTTTATTCACAAAAAGCTTCTGCGAGAAAATTACAAAAAAATTGTAATTATTAAAAATAAATACTTGATATATAAATATATATATATATATATATATATATGTGTGTGTGTGTGTTTGTAATAAATATATATAGTAAATATATTTGATTACAAAATATGCCAGACAATTTTGGCTTAACAATTTTTATAATGTTTTTTGTATGCTTTTTTATATATGCTTGTAAAGAGAATGTTAAAAAAATATAAATCAAATAATTTATATGTGCTTTTTTATATAATTCAAATTAAGCAAAATTAATATTTTTTTAGTAACTAAAGCGTTGCAAAAATATAAATAAAGAATATAAATTAATTTGAGCAAATGAAACTGATATATCATAAATAAACTTAAAATTGTAGTAAATAAGTCGGCTTTGTAAGTTTACGTAATATACAAAAAAAAAAGAGAGTAATAATAATAATAATAAAATTTAACATAATTTACAAAAGAAAAAAATAATATATAAAATTATTGTGAAAATTAAAAAGCAAAAAAGGAAAATTTTGCTGAAATTTTTTAAACAAAAAGTAAACAAAATGTTTACATATTTTTGTGTTTTTTTTTATTATTTTTGAAATATTAAATTAATAACAATAAATTCAAACTATTTATTGCAAAAGAACTTGCACACGATCGTAAATTAATTTAAAAGATTTGATTTTTGAAAATTAAAATATTTTTTGCTTTTTTGTGCCACACTTTTGCAAAAAAAAAAAACTAAAAACTAAACAATCATAAATAATATATTTAATCTAAAAATATTAAAACATAATTAGTTTTTAATATTTAATTTGTCATTACAATTTAAAAGTAAATTTAACATTATTTTTAGTATTTTTGTGATTTATATATAATTTTTTCTCCTCTACTACAAAAGATTTTATATTTGCATTCACGTTCACGTTGAATCGAAGAATCTTAATTTTAAAATATAAAATATTATTTCTATTTCAAAGAATTCTTTTTAAGAATATTTTCAATATTAATATTTAATTTTTTTTTAAACATTTGAACTTTTAAATAAATGAAAGTCCTCATTTATATAATTTATGATTTTTGTAAAAATTTAATATATATAATATTGTATTTTATTTTATTATTTTTTTTTTTTTTGTTATGGCTACATACACTTTTTCTTTTCTATTTATTTCTAAATCTTTTTTTTTTTATTACAAAGAATCCAATTTGTTTTGTTTTTTATTTTAAAATTAAAAAATTTTTGTTTTTATTTTATTTTTATCCATTTTATCTAATTTAATTTAAATTTTTCCTATTTATTTTTGTTACTAATTTTTCTAATTAATTTTTCTTCTTCAAAATTAGCCAATTTTGTAATTTTTTTAATTAAAATTTTCTCTTTATTTTTCTTCATTTATGCTGTATTCAATTTTTATTTACTTATATAATATTTTATTATGACTTATATATTAGCATTACGTTTCCAATTTGTATTGAATATTTGTATCGACGAAAGAACTTTACAATAATAAATAAATATATAAAAAAATTTAAAATTTTTATTTTTTTTTTGTTTATTTAAATTTTATTATTTTTAAAATAAAACAAAATATTTATAGTTTTCTATTCGCTTACAATAATTTCATATTTTATTTTTTGTATATATATTGTTAAGTTTCTGTGTTTCACATAACACAAGGTAATCATAGAAATCTATTTGAAGAACAATATGATTTCTAATGCCTGAAGTACCGTACAGAAAACCACAAACAGAAAACAGTAGTAGATTTGTCGATTATTCTTAACTTTATTTTGAAAATCAAATGGTTTAACATTAACAACACAAAGAACCATATTCGATAGAATGCTTAATGTAGTTCACCTTCTCCATGTCATGTCTCCAAAGTATGTCAAGAAACAACAGCTGTCTCTGAGTCTATTATTACGTCCCCTTCAATCTAATCTAACCTAGACTCAATTTTTTTTAACTTTACTTCATTCTTCCAAATTGTATCTTTCTTCCTCATTTTCTAGATGTGCCCACTGGCTGTGTCGGGTTTGTGCTGTGTTTATTTTAAGGATGACTTAAAGAATAACATTTCATGACAACGATTCCAATTTCATTTAATGTAAATTAATTATTTTTTTTATTGAACTGAAAATTAATTGAATAATTTAAGAAAGTTATTCTTAAAATATAACGTAATTTTCGATTAATCTAATTTTTCGGGTAAAGTTTTTTTCGATACTCTGTGTCTCAGTTAATATTGAAAATGAATCAACAAACAATTTTTTTTCGTTTCTTGAATTAAAAAATTGGTTCCCATATTTATAGTACTTTGTTAGGCGACAATCCATCTAATGTGTAGTATAAGTTTCATTTAATATTAAATGACTACAATTGCTTTAATGACAAATGTCAAATAAACATATACCTACTTGTGTGACTCCTTTGGGGGATGTTGAACGGCACTTGGTCGTATTTGACGAGTGGCTCTGGGACGTAGACCCGGCAAATCTTGGAACCAACGGTAGCTAGGTTTCTACGACTGAACCATGGTTGATTTCGTTTATATTCTTCCTTCCTCTTCTCATTATCTCTTTACTCTAATTCCATCAATTCACTTTGCTACCCATGTATGCGCCTTGTAATTCTTACATATTATCTGCTTTTCTGATTACCAACAACAACTGCCCATTGAGAAAGGTAATTAATTTATTGGGTCTAATAAATACATTGCTGTTATTTAAATTTTATACAATATTTATTATGTTTTTTACATTTTGTTATAATATTTAACTTTCACAACAAAGTAACAGAACTCCCGAAAAATGTGCGAACATAAAAGTCAAGTACGGCTTTGGGTCAGTTGGTTAAGGTTCGCTGATTCTGAGCTTCACATTTGGCAGGACCTGAGTTCGATTTCTGGTACTTGCAGTCTCAAAATAAAATTATTTACGAATAATGTAATACAAAAAATTTTTCAAAGACCACTAATGGTGGGTATATGGCAATACTCGAAACAGCTGTATGGTTAGCCAAAAATTCATTTAATTAAAATAATATAAAATGAATTTTTGTTGTTGTAATTCATTACTGTTTGAAAAAACTCTTTATAATATATAACTTTTTTTTTATTAAAGTGATATATTTTAATACATTTATTTTTAAACTTATTTTTAAAGAGTTATTCTATTAATCTTTCATAATATAATTTTACAATTTATTTTTTTTTATTTTATTGAAATTGTTTAATCTTAAAAGTTTTTAATTTATTATTTCTATTTTTCATTCCTTATAAAGGTAAAGAAAAGGTAAAGAAAATAAATGTTTTTAAAGTTATTTATTTTATCAGAAATATATAGAAATAATATAGGATAAGCGAAAAGACAGAGATAAAATTAACAATTAAACAGTTTTATAAAAATGTAGAAGCTCTTGATGTAATTATATATGCTATATCCTTAGAAAGTAATCATTTTCATATACCTACAATAAACAAATATCGTTCACACTTACATATGTATATCAGAATCGTCCCATAAATGTTCCATATTCATTTTTATATAGTCAAGAAGCCATAAACTTAATACTAAATAAAATATTTAAATATGATATGAAGTAAAATAACTTAATAAAACGATTGATATTGTAAAAATTGATACTAAAAAGGAAAATTAAAGAGGTTTCAAATTAAATGCAGCCGTCAAAAGAATCCTTACAACAAATATACTCACTCGTACTTGAATTACTTTTCAACTTTACTCCTTTGAAGGAGTAAAATTCTATTTTTTTTTTAATTTTTTTAATGAGATGTGGTTGTAAGATTTTCTTTCATATCTTCAAAGAAGCTGATATAGTACTTGAGAATATATCTAAAGTTTAGAGAACAATTTTTTTATAAGGCAGAAGTAAGAAATTATTTCAAGACAAATAAATGCAATAAATTTTTTAAAAATGATTAATTTTCACCCCATAATATGCAATTTCTGATCTTTTCTTCCCCAACTATATATATATATATATATATATATATTTTATGTAAGTATATATACATGTCAGTGGTGAAAATGCTAATAAAATCAATTAAAATTTTATTCAAACTGCCATTAAATTTCTCAAGAAATCAGATTTACATAAAAATTACTATATACTGGAACAATAAATAGATCTGAAACAAACAAAATAGACTTAA